TGAGAAAGCGCGAGGGTTCGGGACCGTGGCAAAGTTTCCCGTGAAAATCAACCACTTCACTCTCGTGGCACTGCCGTTATCGAATGTTATACTAACTCGATCGTCGCTAGGGTTACCAAGGGCAACTGAAGCAAACCGCGGAAAGTCTGCGATCAGAAGTTGTTTCCCGTTCTGGCAGCTGGGGGCGTAGCAACACGGCGACGGCTGCCAAAGATCGACAAGAAGACGATTGATATACTAGTCAGCAACGGAGTCGCTACCCGTTCTGAACGGAGGAGGCAGACAGCGCGATGACATTACAGCACGTCAGAAAAGGCTCCACGAGAACGACACCACCAGTGGGAGCTTAAAGTCGGAAATTGGAACATATCCTCACTCAGAGGAAGAGAGCAAGAATTAGTTGATGAGGCCATGAAGTACCAACTCGACATTGTTGGACTCTCGTCAACGAAACGACCAGGCTCTGGACTCCTGAACCTCAGTGGATGGAACCTGTTCTACTCAGGCGTCGATATCACGACTCGCGCTCAGGCCGGTGTTGACGTTCTGGTAGAACCCAACCTCGCAGAGAGAATCATTGATTGGAAGCCTGCCAGCGGAAGAGTGGCAGTTCTCCGACTGAGGTTACAAAAGAATAAAGCGTTGACCTTGTTACAGGTCAGACTATGACTCCTTCGTTGAGTAAGTGGAGTGTCCTCTGTACGAAATGCCGAATACGGAGTCCTTCATACTCATGGGCGATTTTCATGCGCATGTCGCGGTAAACACTGAAAGCTGGAAAGGTGTGATTGGAAAGAACGGCCCTGGCAATCTCACCAATAACGGCATGAAGTTCTAGCGGTTATGTGCAAAAAACGGACTGCATATTATGAACTCCTTCGAGCATCGAAAAGTGCATCAGTATACCTGGTACAGGTATGCTTGTAAAATTCGATGATCGATTTTATAATCGTATCATTTTAATTACGATGTTTTGCAATGGATGTACGCGTTAAGAGAGGCACAGAGCTGCCAACCGATCACCATCTTGGTGTGACGCTATGCTCTGAGAAATAGAGTACCATACGAACACCGGTAGAAGCAACCGAAAAATCAAATGGGAAAATTGTATTTGGCTGTAGAGCTTCAAAACAACATCACATAGTCAAACTTCTTAGTGGGCACGAGAGGTTCTCGTAATCTACTTAGGAAGCTGCGTATTCTCGTAAAACTGTTGAACGTTGAATTAAATCAAATGAGCTTGACCCGAAAGTCAATCAATTGCATTTGGATTGTAACGTGCACAGTTGGCATTGCTTGGTGGTTCGGTATGAGGCAAAAATGTGGTGACCGCACATTTGCTGTATTCAGAACCTTGCTTTATTTAGCGGCAGAACTATTTCAACCTGTTATAGCAGTGCAAAGGCGCGAAAATGCCTCAACGGCATAGATGAATGTTCTCCCACAGTTTATAATGAAGTCATTATATTAACACGGTTTATATATACACAACCCAGATAATGTGGTCAGTCGAATAATCGATCAGTACCCACGTTTCGGCTTGTGTCTCAAGGGCTTTCATCGAGGTAAATAGGATTGAATTTGGAAGTTCTTTCTGTGGTTCGCAGCTGTAGGAGGAAGTTTGGAGCCAAGAGGAACTTGCAACCTCAATTCTGCCTACGTTGAAGAAAGCCCATGAGATAGGGCAGAAACACTGATGCCGGTCAATTTCCGATTGACCATACTGTTTGCGTTGTGTGTAAAGTACCACGTTTTTCTGTCGTTTTGAGGGTGAGGGTGGTCACCACACACAAACGAACACTCAATCCTCAGAGGCATCATCTGTCCTATTGCATGCATAATAGCAAGTCAGCAGCGAATTAACTGCAGCATTAAAATATGGCAATGCAATAGCTACTTTAAATGTGCCGACACTAACAGGAGTGAGTAGAACAGTTCTGCTAGCATAGCATGAACGTCAACGGCTAGGTCAGCAAGTGGCTTTGTCGAGCGAGAAATAATTCTCTTAACTATCGCTGTGCGCTATGTACTAAATACAGTCATCAGTCGGTACGCTTAGCAGCTACAAGTCGTAAACACAGTGCCATTTTGTAATTCATGCGATATTCGTATATTGATTTCGACAGCTAGCAAAAGCTATGAATGGCCAGGAGAGAAATTTAATTTTCACAATCCTCCTTTCCGAGCGAAAAAAGCGCAAGCGTAGGTGACCGAATCTGCGACAGTTTCTTTCAGCGAAAGATAAGTGCTTAACTACGCAGTCTATTTCAGGCACCTGTACACGTTACCTCCGCTGATGGATTCGCGAAAGGAAATCAAAGCAAAGCAAGCGGCGAAGGGGACCAGAAGCATGGCCACGAAAGTGTCGACGCGTAGAGCTGCAGAGCCGGTCGCACCAGCGATTTTCGTTGATCTGGATTATCCGGGCGATACGACTAACCACCGGCAAAGTGAGCAGCGTTCTTCAGGAGGCTCGGACTCACCGTCGGACGACTACCGACTAAACGCTGACTACATCGCGGAACATGCGGAGAGGTCGAGTGCCGTAGCGCGCCCGTTCGCCACCAGCACAGACGTAAGCACATGGGTAATGACCGGTGGTCGGTACCGACGACGTCAGTCGCACATGGGACATTGCGCAAGTGTGATGGTCAGCGGCGTCAGGCAGGCGAAAGCCGGCACGTCGTTGAGCCGAGCTAATACGATGCCGGCCAAAGCACGCGCCAAAAGGCCGGCTAAGCTGCACATCGAGAACAAGTGCAACTCGCTGAGTCCGATGCAACTGTCGGTAGAAAATGTCACTCACGAGCGGGTCCGGCTCCGTTCGTTTGCTATCGAGCGCAAGAACCAGGTGATCAACCGCGGTGACTCGTTCAAACTCAGACGACACCACTCCGCCAGCTCCACCCGAAGTTCGAACAGATCTGGTAGCAGCTCGGTGAAGTCCACGTCGCCGGTGCCGGTGCCAATGCCGATGCCGATGTCGATGCCGGTGTTCACCGCTGACGACTGCGTGCCTCTTTATCACGTGCTGGTGCTAGGCGCTTCGGAAGTGGGCAAAACCGCAGCCACTAGTCAGTTCATGACCTCTGACTACAGAAACCCATTTTCTACCGAACAAGGTACGCCGTCGTCATTTTGCCTTCGTTGCGACTGCTAACGACGGTCACAATCACAATCACTTACTTACTGTTCTGCCAAGCGACGTCCACCGTCCAGCTTTCATTTCTCATTTCATGCTCTTCAAACTTTGCTATCCATTTGAAATTCGGAGCCTTATGATCGACATATTCAGCTAATAATCGTAAAACTACACGCCCATATATTGCAGAGTACGTTCACCTTATCTGAAACTACATATGTATATTCAGCAGCAACCGATACGCATTTTAATAAACACAAACCTTTTGAGTTTCGTTGCACTCATCCGTCATATTTCCTGTTTAAACAGTAGTGATTTCTCTTCTTCTTTCGTCCTTCATCATAACGCCTCCGACTTTCGGTCAGTAGCTCCATTTCTTTCCTCGGTCAACCCTTAGCTGGGGAGAACAACTTCATGCGATTGAAGTTGCTAAGATTCGACTCATTTTTCCTGTTTTCTATCGATGTCTTATTATCATAGTTTGCACACGGTTTTCTACACATTTTTGTGCTTTTTGTTTATACGCCAAAAATGCTTAAGCTTATTCTTGACTCCTTTTCGTGCCATCGGTAAGAATCTGATGTGTCTCATGAAACTATTTCATGTCTCACGCACGTAAATCACACGCTTATTTCAGCATTGGCATTTCTAGTAAACTCTTTTCACCTGATCAAGCGATCCTCATGTAACAGAGTTGTGTCATCTGTTTAATGTCCTACACGGAGGCGTCCATAACGGTGCTTAAGAAAAGACACTTAATATCTGTTTCTTTACATGGCATTCGCCTCAGACTTCTCGTTTCTTCTGATTCAGGCTCACATTATTACCTGTCGAACATTGTCGATATTCCGCTCCGTCTTTCGCGAAAGTCAAAATTTACTACTTAAACAAGACCACAAAAATGGCTCATTTTTCGGCACAGGACAGAGAAAATACGTATGTTTGTAAATAAATAATGACAAATATGTACGTCGCAGTGAAAAAAAGCAAAAATGGAAACTATATACAAAATTATAAACAGGATGGTTATAACCGATTTATTACGCAACGGTAATATGGTTAAAGAACCAGAATTGCTTCTGAATTTGGATTTTCGTCGCCAAGTCGACACTGCGACTACTGTATACAACATTTTGTAACAAACGCGAGTATTAATCTGTTTTGTCAACCAGATAGACTATTTTCAGATGATAACGCGCATGAAAAAACTGTGTCAGTCCTTCTTGATGGCGAAGAATCGGACATGAACTTCATAGAAATAAACTGTCAAAAGGTAAGATATTTTTCCTTGCTATTTATCAATTTCAAATCCATAAACTGCTACCACAGCAAGAGGCAGACATTACAACGAGATTATGGACAAAAAGACATCGTTTAATATGCATCGTATAAATGATAAGTTTATTCAGGCTATGAGACAGTCATCGTTCCAAATCTTATTTCAAAGATATTTAGGACAAGCACTCCTAATTCATATGTATTTGGCATCGCATCCTAAGATGCCTTAGCCACTACAGGAAGAAAGATCTAAGAATAGAGGTCGAGGCACCTTCGTATAAGGATTTGTCGCAATTGGGACTGACTGTAACAGAATGCTGGAATCGACATGCAGTTAAGAATATTCAACTACGACAGGCTTGAAAAAGTAAGAAGTGCAACACGTCTGAATAAGCAAATTAGGTGAATGAATGAACCAGGCATTGCGGACTTTCTTACCCCCGTACGACAGAGCTTCATTTGGAAGGTTAAGATAAGAATTATATTGATCCTTCTCC